TCCCCGCATCAAGTACGGGTGGTTGGTTTTGGGGGCCACAGCAGCCATTGCCAAGGTTACCACTGCTTCCAAACTGGTCTATCTGGGTGCTAAGCATTTAGCCGACATTTAGCCGAAATGTCTGCATGTACCTGCTCAAGTCATGACTGGTAACAAGGCAACCTAGTCAGCAATTGTTTGTGTGTGTGTGTGTGTGTGTGTGTGTGTGTGTAAACTATTTTACATGATCATAGTTTTCATCTTACACACTATACTTTAAATTTAAGTGAAATCAGTACATTTTCAAGCTCACAGCTACATGGGGTAGGGTAGTCACTCCTCATTATGTGTTACATCTCTTCCTGCTCTTGTCCCTTAACTGCACAAGTGTCACTGGAGGCTGTTTTCTCTATATTCTCTTCTTCAGGGAATGTGCCCATATTCTAGGCTTGAACTACAGTAAAATTCCTAGAAAATTAATCTTAAAACTCCAAGCAAAGCATGACTTTGAGGTGTATGGTACAATTCCTTCTTTGTCTGCTCCAGAGGGCATTTGCAAGGAAGGCACAGTGGGCAGCCAGATTCGGTCCTCGCTGTGGCTCTGGCATCAGGCAATGAGGAAACTTCTGAACTGCCCCATTTCCTGGCTGCGTGGCTTTGGGCAAGTTATTTAACCTCCTTCCGGCCTACATCCCTGATCTATAAAAGAGTGAAAATAATAGTATCCCAGTAAGAGGATTATTGCGAGTACTAATGAGGCAAAAACAGGTACATAGTGACTGCTTGGCTCTAAGTTGCCAGCAAGTGCTAGTTGCAATGATAATTATTATTACTCTCATCTTTGGCAGGATGGAGCCATTTAGGGGACAGTGATTTGAAACCTTTGAAGTGCTATGAAAATGTGAAATATTATTATTGTGCATAATGTGGAGTGAAATCCAGAGACGTGAATAAGAAATCAGGAAAGCTAGATCCTAATGGCACTCTTGCCACGAAGCCTTGATGTGACCTTGGGCCAGGCTCTCTGCGAGCCTCCTCTTTCTACTTGTAGATGAAACGGCTTGATTAGATTATCTTTGGGGGGGTAAGGGGAGTTTTCAATAAGTTCATTTTTTATTTTTAAATGTTTTCAATTGTAGGGTGATTAGATTATCTTGAAACTTCACCCCAGCTCTGAAATGTTATGATTTGATTCTGTACTGGAGCAAATCTTACACGGTCCCTGGAACAGAGTAGGTCAATACGTACTACATATATCAATGGCCAAAGCTCATCTCTGAGGTTGAGAGAAGTTAACCCCAACTGCAACAATCAGAAATAGCAATCTGGGGGAATTCAATAAAAAGGCAAACTTACTCCCACATACATCAGAAATCTTGAAGGACAGCATGGTGGCAGAAGATAATAACATACCCGTAATAGCAACCCAGTAGTCCTGCCCTTACCCATAATTTTGCTTTCTGTGCTTTTAGTTACCTGCAGTCAACTGCAGCTCAAAAATGTTAATTTTAAAAATAGAAATAAACACTTCACAAGTTTTAAATTGCACGCCGTTCTGAATAGCGGAATAAAATCTCAAGTTGTACCGCTCTGTTCCTTACCTTACGTGAATCATCCCCTCGTCCAGCGTCTCCATGCTGTGTCCGCTTCCCCCTCCCCATTAGGCACTTGGTAGCTGTCTTGGTTATCAGATCCACTGTGTGGTATCAAAGTGCATGTGTTCAAGTAACTCTTATTGAACTCACTAATGGCCCCAAAGCACAAAAAGTAGTGATGTTGGCAATTCGGATGTGCCAAAGAGAAGCCGTAAGGTGCTTCCTTTAAGTGAAACCGTATGAATGTATAGGAAAAACATAGGATACATAGAGTTGGGTACTATCTAAGGTTCCAGGTATCCACTGGAGGGGGATATTAGAGTATATTCCCCACAAAGAAAGGGAGACTACTATACTGAACTAATCAGAAAAAGACCAGATTATGCCCAGCAGGAAAGTGGGTGCAAGACCCCTTCACATTTTTGGGGATCTGGCTTTGGATAGTCATGTTCTGGCAGCTCTCCCACACAGCTTGCCATACTGAGTACCTGCTCTGCGCAGATGTGGTGGTAAATGGGGCCACTGAGACACAGTCTGGTCTGCAGGTGCTGACAAACTAGTAGATAAAGCATTTTAACTGTGGGAAATACTTTTGCCTTTTCTGCATTCTCCTGTATGCTGCTTACATTGTTCGTATATTGTCTATTATTCTGTGGAATCATAGCTGTTTGTGTATTCAGCTCCAGGTCGCTTCAGCCCGCCAGCAGCTTCTGGATGTTAAATATTATCTCTTCATGTGAGCTGTAGCTGCAGGAAGAGTTGCTCTTTTACCTCCTAATGAGCCCTGGAACTGGTTTGCAGGGCAGTTATTGATTCTTTCTCTTTCTTCCCAGAGGGCTGATCAGTTCAGATTTAGCTGTTTGGTCTTACTCTTCTACAGGACTCAAATTTTATTCTTTCTGTCCACTTTTCCCCTAATAAAACAAAATATCCAGATGATAACAAAAACTAGATAGTATGGTGTGGTGGCAACACTTTGAGGGAGAGGCAAAATATTTCTTTTGCTACTATAGCAACTACTATTAAATGCCTTGTCACTTACCTTTGAAGCTCTTTGGAAATGTGAAAGCTATTTTGCATTTACTGGTAAGTGTTGAAAATCACCTGCATTATCTAAGACACTTTCCTCTTCCTCTAAGATTCTTCTTAAAGAGACTTTAACTATTTTCTTCAGATATCGTTATAAATGTAAGATGCAGTATTGATGGATTTCTCCAAACGCATTGATTCTCATATTCCCTGAAAATGACAAGGACATTTTGAAGACGACAATAGAAAACATTTACATAAAAATACTTAATCAAAAATAAAAGACTTGCCTAGCTGGTTTGGCTCAGTGGATAGAGTGTCAACCTGTGGACTCAAGGGTCCCAGGTTCGATTCTGGTCAAGGGCACATGCCCAGGTTGCGGGCTCAATCCCCAGTGGGGAGTGTGCAGGAGGCAGCCAATCAATGATTCTCTCTCATCATTGATGTTTCTATCTCTCTCTCCCTCTTCCTTCCTCCCTGAAATTAATAAATATATATTTTTAAAAATAAATAAGAGACTTGATGCTTACAGATACTTCAACAATTCATTGGATAAGCATACATTAAGTTCCTAAAAGTGTTGCAAAGTACTGCAAACACAAGGAGGTTAGAGAAATGGTTGCTGCTTGCAAGGAGCCCCATTAAAAACTGCTGGCTTCTTTATATCTTGTATAAATACCTAATATTTTACAAAACATTTTCCACATAAAATAACTCATTTTATCCTCAGTACAATCAATCCTGGTTTCACCCTTCATAAACTTGAGATTTCTTATTGCACACTATTACTTGGCAACCAGAATGTTCGTTTTGATAATGCTAATGTTAGTATTTCTCCATTATTGGTGGTTTGATTTTATGTGCCTAATGACTTAAGAGTTTACAAAGTGTCTATTGGAAAGAATTGTTTTTCCATTTTCTCACCTTCTAGTCCTTGTTCCTCCTAAGAGCGACAGGAGCTAAAATGACTTCAAATTCCCGGTGAGTGCTCTTAAGATAAAAGTGGTGACCTGGTTCTTGAATTTCTTTCCCACCAAAGCCTGTGGGCAGTCATCTCAAAAGTTCATTTCTCCTTCATATTTGTTCTCTATTTTTTTCTTTATTCTACTCCTGATCATTCTTTCCAGGCCATTTGCTATCTTGCACTCTTGTTTCCATCAAAAAATAGAAACAGAATTTAACAACTTGGGGATTATCCTGCCCAAGCTTTTCTCTTTATGGAGGAGAAAACTAGGGCCCACAGTCTTCGGATGTCAGTGCCAAAGCCAGACAAATAGATAGTAGAGCTGGGCTTGAACCTGAGAGGCAATCCTCTGACCAGATGACCTTCAAAGAGATCATGCTACCTTTGAAGCTACCCATCAAATGAAACATACTTCCCAGGATAACATGTGCTTCTCTCATACTGGCAGCATGTTGACATTTGATTACTGTTGTAACAGAGGTCTACCCCATTGTATAATATTTCACAGATTATATTGTTATGTTTTCAGTTTTTCCAGAGTGTACCTGTTCAGCCAGGAATTATACGATCACTGAATCAATTATTGAGCATCTACCTTGTGCCAGGCATACTACTGGCTTCAGAATTATGAAAACTACCAGGTTTTGGCCTGACTTTAATTGGAAGTACTTTTTGGATTTGTGTAAGCTCATTCCACACTGGATTCCTAGTAACCATATAGTTTTAGTGTAAATGGCCCTGTAAGTGTGAGGAAATTGGTAACAAGAATTGAACTTTGCCCTGCCCGTGTGGCTCAGTGGTTAGAGTGTGCGCCCCGAGCACCAAAGGGTTAGGGGTTTAATTCCAGGGCAAGGGCAGGTACCTGGGTTGCAGGTTCAATGCTGGCCTGGCAAGGGCAAGGTAGGTGTATCTCACAAGGATGTTTCTCTCTCTCTCCCTTTCCCTCCTTCCCACTCTTTCTAAAAATCAATAAATATCCTCGCGTGAAGAATAACAAACAAACAAACAAACAAACAGAATTAAACTCTACTAAGGTGTTGAAGGCAGACATTGAAGCCTTTACCTGTGCATTTAGGACTTCACATGTGCAGAAGACCCAAGAACCACAATTTAAACGCGACCAAGTGTGGTTTTAAAAGGCTCCCAAATGTGCTATAAAAATGCCAACAAATGCATCTTCTCGGAGAATCGTTTTCCTGGGACGACTTATCTTTCCTTGCCAGTGGGCTCCACCTCCAGGAAGCCTGCGGGACAAGGGACGAGCGCCCCGGGGTCCCTGCAGCCCTGCAGGCGGGCTGGCCCGGGGCGCGTCCTGGCAGCGCCGCCCGCCCGGCTCGGGTCGTGTCCCTGGACGCGGCCAATCCCTCTTCCGCCCCCGGACGCGGCAGGGCGGGGCTGGCGCCGTGCGCTCTTCCTGCCCCGGACCCCTCCCCTCCGGTGACTCCCTGCGCGGGGACATGGCGGCGACGCTTCGGGGACGTTGCTTCCCATGGGTGTGGCTCTGCAGGTGGGACCCCGAGTCTTCCCTGAGCTCCAAAAGGCAGCCGCACGGGTGACCCCGAGTAACCCTGTCCCTGTCCCCTGTTGCAGGAGAGCCTGGCCGGGCGGCGGCCGCCACTACCGCGCCGCGCGGTGCGCGGAGTTGAAGCAGCCCCTGGCCATTGAGGAGGTCGCCCCCCGCCCTGTGGGGCCTCACGAGGTAGGGTGACTGGCCTGTCCCCGGGACCTCTTGACGCCCTTTCACTTTCCCCGCGGCCCCCACACACCCACCGGAGGTTCCACCCTGGACTGAGTTCCCAAGCGCTGAGCTCGGGGGCAACTTCGTGGTGGGCTCCGTGGGCCCATTCAGGGTTCCCCAAAAGGCCAAAAGGTCTAAGGAAGATTGTTCTACCCAAACACAAGTGGAGGCCGCTTTCAGAATGCCCCACAGCTGTTGCCTTAGAAACAGAGGATTCTGATTAGCACACCATTTTGCACAACCACCTGCAAGCTATGGATTTAACACAGATAAATGGACCCCATCCGTTGCTTTCTCTTGGGTGTCAGCATCTAATTATCTGCCCTCCCTCCTCCCCTACACCAGCAACGTCCAGTATTTCCACTGAAATATGTGCCTTGTGCCCGGGTCGGCTGTACTGCAGTGGTGTGGGGTTTAGGGTTGTGGGCATTTCCAGTGAAATGTGGAAGTCCCTTGAGGTTGATCACTCTGGTGACACAATGTCAGCTGGCATGGAGAATGAGCACTTCTGACTGGGTGCAGCAGGCAGTGAGCCTCAGTGTGGGGGATCCCTTGTGAGAGGGAGCAATGTGCCACTAACAGGGACCTGCTGGATTATTTGGGTGAGCACGTGATGGCAGCCACTCAGCTTCCTGGGACTCGGGTGCTGAAAGACATTAATTCTCCAATCATCCGTGAGTCAAGGTGGAGTGGCTTGAGGTCATGTGTGTGCTGCATATGTAAGCAATTTAGGCAACTGCAGGCAGGACTCAAAATTCAATAAATGTAGGAGCTTTTTTTCACAGCAACATAAATTTATATTAAGCGAATTATATTAAGCGAACGATGTTATAAATATCCAAGTGGCCCTTGGCAGAAAAAAGTTTCCCCACCCCCGGTCTAAAGAAACTGCTGGCTACACTGCTGCAGGCCTACCTCAGCTTCAGTGCTGTCCTAAAACATAAGCTGATGATCTAGCATTAGCCTCCAGGATGAGTCCTGATTCCCAAGACAGTTGATCATGTTACTCTCCTGCCTAAAATCCTTTAATGTCTTCCCATTATTCCTACCTTGAAGACTAGGGTGATCAAGACAGGCTATAAACCCTTGGATGGTGTGGGCCCTGCTCTCTAACCCCATATCTCTCTCCTATTTGTGCTCTAGGCTTGCTGGTTTTTCTTTTGTCCCCACCACAGTGCCTTTGCACATGACATTGCTTTTGGCAGTGCCAGGATTCTCTCTTATTTTACATAGTTAACTCTTGGCTGTTCTTAGTTCAAGGGTTACTTTCTTAAGGATTTCTCCTGACTCACCCAAAAGGTTAAGGAGTCTCCTGACTCCCCATCATATGCCTTCATAGCATCACATATTTCTATTTTTAACATTTTGTGTGGAAGTTGTAATTTAACACATAAATACTCACAATTATTTGGTTGAATATTTGTCTTCTCTACCCTACTTTTTGCTCCATGAAGGCAGGGAAATTGTCCACATTGATTGCCTCATGATTGTGCATAGCGACTTAGTTCAGTACCTGGCATATAGTAGGTATTCAGTAAATATTTTGCTATAATTCAGTTACTGTCTCCTCGGATATGTACTGCTCTGTTTCCTTTACAGGTCAGAGTTGATGTCCATTTCTGTGGAGTTAACTTTGCTGACATTTTGGTTTGCCGTGGTCAGTATCAGGAAAGGCCCCATCTTCCTTTCACTCCTGGTGAGTGTGGAGGGGCCAAGGGACGGCTGCAGGGAGAGAAGACACCGTTTTCAGAACCATGCGCTTCATCTATGACTCTACCCACTGTCAGTGACATCTCAGACATGTCAACCTCACCACTAATTAGAAGCACTAGATTGTGGGAAATTTCTATGACTATTTTACCCTTATTATAGCTCTCAGTTTAGCATTATAACTGGCTCATAGTAGATGCTCAATAAATATTTTTAAAATGAATGAACAAATGAATGCTCACATATCATTCTGTCCATCAGAATTCTGATCCCAGTCATCATTGGTCCTAGTCATTTTCTTTTATTCCTTAACATTGCCTCAATTTTGTTTTTGTTTTTTGTGTTTTTTTTTTGCAGCTAAAACTATTCTTTTTTAAAAAAATATAATTTTATTGATTTCAGAGAGGAAGGGAGAGGGAGAGAGAATTAGAAACATCAATGATGAGAGAGAACCATTGATCGGCTGCCTCCTGCATGCCCCCCACTGGGGATCGAGCCCGCAACCGGGCACGTGCCCTTGACTGAATCGAACCCAGGACCCTCTGGTTCACAGGCTGATGCTGTATCCACTGAGCCAAACCAGCTAGGGCAAAACTCTTATTCTTTACAAACACATTCCCAAAGAAACCCAATATCAAAGGGTCAGAAAGAAGGAAAAGAGTTTATACATTTCTAGTAGCACATTGTCTTCTCTGATTTTCACTATGCCCGATCTGATTACATTTAAATTCTGAAAATATGGACACATGATTGATTTTTGTTGTTGAAATTTATTTTAACAGGTATAACTGTAGTTCAGCATGTATATGGTGCATGTATATTCTATACAGAAATGTACTGTTAAGGATATAGTAATTGCAAAATAGTTGCTGTGTTTTGGCCTCAGGGTGTTTGGTTGTGTCTCAACAGTTGGAAACATTTCCCTCTGTTTTTACTTGCTGAAATACTGGATGGGGGCAGCTGTCATGTCATACTCAGCTGAGTTAGTCCTCTGGCAGCTCAAGTGGGAAATGTATGATCATTAAATTCAGAAATTTTGGAGGTGGAAGAGGAAAGGGCAGACAACACTAGTTTATCCATTTGAGCCAAGTACTGTATGAATAAATATGGTTCATATCCTTGAGGACTTCACAGTCCAGCCGAGGAGACATGGCATCCAGTATGATGAACATCGTAATTGGGGTGCTATAGAAGCCCAAGCCCCCAGTGATCTAGGTCAAAAGTCTTTATGTGTCTGTAAAAGTACTTGTGTACCGCCGTGCTTTCACTCATTCTTGAAATTTTCATTTGTGTCCAGGTAAGAATGGGGCTGCTATAGCTTTTCAGGTTGTGATCGTGAAACTCTTAAGTTCACTTTCCTGTGATTTGGGTACAACACTCTTCCCCCTCCTCCCTGGGTAGGTGAGGGGAGGCACTTAAACCTCTCAGTTCCAGAAAGCTTGTGGATCAGGATCTTCTGACCTCCATGGTGCTGGGCTTTACAGATTAACCTAATCTCGAAACAATTTGTTTCAGGAATGGAGTTTTCTGGGACAGTATTGGAGACAGGCACAGATGTCAGCACAGTTAAAGAGGTAAATGTGATGAAATTTAGAGAATTGATGTGTACGTAGCTGTGAGAAACATGCCAACTCATTTGTAGCCAAAGGGTCTTATGTCTCCTGGTCTTTGTCAGAAGACACCAAAGGGAAACTGAGATGGAGGGGGAAGAAATGAATTCTGAATTGGGGGAAGGAAGGCAGTAGAAGTGCCTTGCTTTATTAAACTTTTGTTACCAACAAAAGGTCTTTCGTGGCTCAGAGGATAGGAAATTATCAAGTTTCAGCTTCTTGTGAAAAAAATTAACACTGGTATTCTAACTCATATCTATATTCATATTCTAATTGATACCCATATCTTTGTCCAAAATATGCTCAGATTGGCTTGGCATCCTGGTAGGGATATTGAGAAAAAGGCTGAATTATTTACTAAACATTACTTCTAAATAGATAGTTAGGGCAAACCTGGGGGGGTTGTATGGAATCAGAAAGAAAGATGCATCTGAACCTACCTTACCGATATTTTCCCTTCAGGGAGATCGAGTTATTGGCGTGAGTGGCTTTAACAGTATGGCTGAAGAATGTATCACTGACCAGAAGGTATCGCTATCTCTCAGTACAATGTTTAGGTATTTTTAAAAATTTCCTTCCTTAAATTTTTACCTATCCTCACCCCCTCTACCCCGCCCCTTTTTCTTTGTATTTGTTTGCTCATATCTTGTTTTTCAGTCAAGCTGTTCTTTCTTTCAAATGCTAAATCCCTTTTCTATATTGGTGTGATAGCCCTTGCACAGAACTTTGTGTGGAGTTGCTGGAGACCAATTCCAGCATGTTCAGCAGGGCTGCATCTGGGAATGGCTGATGGCATTTCCCCAAACCTGAATAGGATACATTAAATTGACTGTGGCTGCCAGACAGCTAAAGGGCATCTTAATCTACATGTTATTGCCTCCTACTGGCCAAACACCTGAACAGCCATAGGCTAATTCCCCCATTCTGACAATGGACTCTGTACTGAAACTCTGACCCTTTGAAGTGTATATCTCTGCCTTGCCTCAGGACATATTGTGTTAATAAAAAGCATGGGGTCCTGGGACAAGGAGACCTTAGACCAGCTGTGGGCAGAATAAAACCTAAAAAAAAAAAAAAAGACCGTACACTTTTATGTAATGATGTTTACTTTGAATTTATATTAGTTCACACAAACACTCCATCCATGCTTTTGTTCCGGCCCTCCGGTCCAGTTTCAGAACCCATTGTGGCCCTCGAGTCAAAAAGTTTGCCCACCCCTGCTTTAGGTGGTACGTATGGAATCACTAAGTCACTGTTATCTCTTTTACAGGCACTGTGGCGGATTCCAGACAGGGTGCCGCTCCGGGAAGCTGCTATCCTGCCCGTGTCTTATGGTACTGCTATTATGGCCCTGGAGCATCGGGCACGTACCCAGCCTGGGTGAGGACTGTGTAGACAACAGAGAGCTGGTTAGGACCCTTCTCTGATATCAGAAGTGCCCAAGGCCTTGCCCCTTCCTCTCCCGTGCCTGACCTTTAGCTCACATTTAGTCTGCTTAAGCAAAGGCCAAAGAAAGTAGTGACTGGAGATTGGGGTTTGGTGATGGTGGGAAAATCCTTTTTTTTCTGAGAGGGAATGGTAGATTGCGAACTTGGCCAGTATGAATTTGGTGAAATATCCCTCTCAGACCTGACTACCCTGGATATCACCTTCTAGAAAACCTTCATGTTTAGGGAGTTGGTTTATTTAAACGTTCTTCCCTCTGGTTTTAGTGGAGGCCTGTGGTATTTGTTTCTGAGGGGCTTGGTTGGGTGGGTTTAACTGGGATATTTTAAGCTCAGAGGTGCTGAAGTCCCCCACTTTACCTGGGTTTACCTATTGCCTTCTGCTCTTTTCAGGGAGCCCCAGAGAGATGGGTTCAGTTGACCCGTGGCCATTTTGTGATCACCACCTCCTAAAATTCAGCAGTGTTTAGTATGAGGATGATTTGGGACAGAATTTCTGGAGCAGAAATTGAGTGGTTGCTCAAAGGAAGGGGCTACCTAGAGATATTAAGGAATATTTCTCCCAGAAAGTTTTGAAAACTGGACCACAGTAGTACCACCCAGCCCTAAAGGCTGGAGAAGGGATGCACATAAAGGGTTGAATGAAATGGTCTCGAAGTTCTCTTCTTGCTTTAAAATGTCCTGGTTTCAAAATGTTCGTGAGATCATATTGCTGGATGCTTTCTGGTTTCTGAAGTAGCGTTCGTCTCTCTCTTGGCACAGAGAAACTGTTCTAGTGACGGCAGCAGCTGGAGCCACAGGCCTTGCAGTGATAGACGTGGCAACAAATGTTCTCCAGGCCAAGGTATTTGTATGGTAGAGTCTCCACTTAAACAAATTGTACGAAAAAATATGGTTTTCATTGATTTAGCAAAAACCACATGCAAGGCACTGGGGATGCAAGTCACCTAGAGCAGAGCCTTGCCACCTGTTTGCCTGTGGATGAGTGAGGGGTCCTAGGTGTAAATCACTGGCCCTTCCAGTAACTGGGACCTGCAAGGTCCAATTCGCTTCACCTGTGATGCTCTGAACTTCCCCTCCCACCCCCACACCTCACACTTCAAACTCAGATGCTACTTTTTAGGGAAGTATCCTTTGTCCCTCAGGAAATATTCCCTCCCCTCACTATTTGTATATGGTCTCATGGCATCTTATACTTCTCATTCATAGTACACACCTTACACATCTCAGTATATGCTTAATTTTTTACTTGTGTCATTATTAGATTAATTTATCTTTCCCACTGAAATGAAATCCTCATGAAGGCAGGGACAGTGTCTGGTTCATTATCATAGTTCCAGTGCCTGGCCTGGTGCCTAGACCACAGTAGGCACTCAGTAACTATTTTTTGAATGAATGATTTAACAAATGAAAGAAGGTGGATATCAAAGAAGGAAGGATTTTTGAAGATGGTGGACATTGAAACTGAGTTTTTGAAGGACTGGTAGCAGTTGAATAGAGGAAAAAGTGAAATGAAGGCCATTTTAGTGGTGGGAGGACCTATTAGAAGACAGAGGAAGAGGAACTAACATGATGCATTCAGGGACTTGCAAACAGCATCTGTGGGGCAGAGGATCTGGAGAACGGTGGAAAATGACTCTATAGAGGTGGGCAGAGTAAGATCAGGAGGTGCTGGAGAATTTGAACAGTTATGGGAAGCACATGAGGGTGTTAAGTAGAGAAGTGACATGATCATCTTCGAATTTCCAGAGTTCACTGTGGTAGCAGTAGGAATGAGGGATGGGGTAAGGTCAGGGGTGGTTCGTAGGTGGTAGGGCAGACTCTTGGAGCAATCCCAGCCTGAGGTGATGCTACTTGAACCAGGACAGTGGAGGTGATGAATCGAAACATACTATATTGGAAGAAAATAGAGAATTTGGTCCCTGGAGAGCATTCTAATATAGCTGAAGGCACGAGGACTTAGAAGTTAGCCTCACCTAGGTTCAAATTCTAGCTCTGCCTGTAGAGTAATCACTTCAGTTTCCTCATTGGTAATGCTTCCCTTGTAGGGTTGTTGTGGGGATATTGAAATTACACATGCATTGTGCCTGTTAGAGGTGATGGCATGTCAGTAAGACTCTCTTGAAAAGGGATCCTGTTATTATTAGACATTGAATGGGAAGGAGCAAACTAGGTTAATTTGTGGATTTGCCATTTGTTGGGATTGAGAGCACAGGAGGACATGTCGGGTTCAGTTTTGGATGTTGTTGAGTGTGAAGTTCCCATGGAGCATGCAATTGGAGTATCCAGAAGGTGCCAGGAATCCACAGGCTTGGAGATAATTGGATTGGTCTGGAATTTCGGCAGGTGGCATCTCTCCTTCTCACATGAAGTTCCTTTGGGAAGGACATGTGAGTTCTGAAAGCAATCTTAGATACCAGGAGGCTCCTTGTGGATATTAACACATTTCATGTCAAAAACAAGGGCTTTTAGCACCTCTCTTAGCAGGGAAACCACACTTAGTCTAATTGTCTAGAACCTGTGACTATTTAACACTTACAGATGAAATTGTACCATTTGTTTTGAGTAGTGACAGGAAGTTAGTAGAGAGGTTTACTTCAATTCAGATATTAATCTAAGCAGCAATAATGGTTTTAGGCAAAAGCAAACAAAAATAAAAATAATGTCATCATGCTCTCTACTTGGAACAGGTCATTTTGATAACATCTTCCATTCGCAGCATTTCGTATGGCTTTCACAGTGCCTCCACAGCTGTTCTCTAACCCTTGATCCTCACAAAACCCCTGGGTGATGGGTAATGTAAAGTGTTTATTATCCCTATTTCACAGATAAAGAAAGTGAGGCACCAAGAGGGAAAGTGATTCACGGCAGGTCTCCCCAGGACCTAGTGAGAATCCTGGGATTGGAATCAGGTGCCTGACCTGGTCGGGTGTTGCCCACTGTGGCACTGTGTGCTGACAGCCCTCCCTGACCTGCAGCTATTTGAGGGAAGCTTTCAGTTTCACATTGTTATGGGTGAGCTTGGAATCTTTTAAGGCCACTGATGTTTTTGAAAGTCACCTTGGGGCCAAAGTGCGCTGGTGGGTGCTGCCCAGTGATAAGGCACCTCCAGGCAATGCCTGAGTGTTTGAAACTTTTCTGGAGACTTCCAAACCCTAGACCTCCTCACAGTATGCCCCGCAGCCATTGGTGCCATCTTTGTCACACCTTAGGCATGATGGAGTGTAAAGCATGGGCTTTGGAGTGAATACTTTTTTTTTTTTTTTTTTTTACCACCTACTACCTGGAAGATCCTGAGTTAATAACTTCTCTGGTTCTACGTCTCTATCTAATAGAATGGAAGTATTTATACCTCCTCATGATACTCTTATGAGGTTTAAATAGAATAAGTGATTGCCTATGTGTAACAATAGATTCAATTTATCCAAGTTTTGCAAGTGCTTTACATACAGTAGTATTCCACTGAATTCTTAAAATAAAGATGAATATGTGAATGAGGTAACTGATGCTTAGAGAAGTAGGCAGGCAGTATAGAGAGAAGTTAAAGCCTGAACTTTGGCCGAAACCGGTTTGGCTCAGTGGATAGAGCGTCGGCCTGCAGAATGAAAGGTCCCAGGTTCGATTCCCGCCAAGGGCATGTACCTGGGTTGCGGGCACATCCCCAGTAGGAGATGTGCAGGAGGCAGCTGGTCGATGTTTCTAACTCTCTATCTCTCTCCCTCTTCCTCTCTGTAAAAAATCAATAAAATATATTAAAAAAAAAACAACAAACCTGAACTTTGGAGAAGGATTACCTGGGCTTGGTTTCCAGTTCTGCCTCCCATTAGCTGGATGACTTTGGGCAAGTTACTTAAGTTCTTTTGCCTCAGTTTCTTTATCTCCAAAATGGGGATAATAATAGTGTGTATATCACTGGACTATTAATATATTGAGTTATACTCTATATAACTCTCTCTCTCTAATTAAGAATAGTGCCTGGTACATAGTAAGTACTATGTAAGTGTTAGTTCTTACTAAGTAATTTGCCGTAGGTAATGAAGCCGGTTAGTATCTGTCCAGATCTTCCCATTAAATCTTGTTTTACTGTCTGAAAAGCCTTTCTCATTTGCTGTGGCTTGGTATTTAGTTTGTGTCCTTACTACTTGCCTCATAGGAGATGCTTAGTAAATGGTGGTTTTAATTTGCATTTGGAGGAACTTACCGAGTGTCTCCTGAACATCTCCTGGCTAGACTGGGTCGCATGGTGGGGCATGGAGGGTCCAGTGCGATGGTGCTGTGGGCTGGGGCTGATGCGTTGGATTGAGGCTGATGCTAGGTCAGCAAGGTCCCATGGGTTTCCTTGATTGGTACCCTTTGGTGGCAGGTTGGTTGGATGGCATGAGCCCCACTTGGTACATATTCTGAAACTCAGCAGCTTTGTGTCCTTTATGCAGGTAATAGCTGCCGCCGGAAGTGACGAGAAGTGCCAGCTGGCTATGCAGAGGGGCGCAGAGTCCAGCGTGAACTACAGTCAGGGCAGCCTGAAGGAGGCAGTGAGGAAGCTGGTGGGCAGTGGCGGGGTGAACGTGGTCATCGACACCGTGGGGGGAGACATCTTCCTGGATGCTCTCCGCAGGTGCGTGGAGGGGTCTTTCCAGAGTGGGTTCGACCTGTGGCTCTGAGGGACCTTTCCGGACCTCTGCCACCACCTGGCCTTGCTTCTCTTCCGTCCTCGCTGCTGACTTCTCCTGCAGGCACTGGCACCAATGAGAACAGCTGAGTGGGGGCGTGGAAAGAACTAGAAGTGGAGGGGAAAATCAGGAAATGCTTAAATATAGCAACAACCAAATATCCCACTGGAAAATATCCAAGAAACGAGTGCAGACTCTCTAGTTGGCAAGATCAAATGCTTTAGAAATTATACATGTGTTCAATTCAGCTGTGCCGGCCCCCACCAACCACTTTATGTCCACGGTGCGGGTAATTCTTAAGGAGATCATTGTTCAGATGTTAAATGCCCACACTCTTTTGATCTTGCTGGATTTTGAAGTAGCCAGCAGGCTAGGTATCCCTTTGATTTGTTTTATTTTTTAAAAAAATCACTGGAGAATTGCTTGTCTCTACACCAATTCTCATTCTGTTTTCAACCAGGGACTCTGGAGTGCTTTGTAACATGGGTTTCATTTCTCCTGTCATCCTGGCAAGCACAGTTTTGTGGTTTATCTCAGTTTAAAGTAGAAGTAGAAGCAAGGAGAGCAGCTTGCCCATAGAGGGGACCCAGTTGGTGCTCTAGCGCCCAAGCATCCCTGCAGTGTGTCCAGGATGGTGCTTGGAGAAGCAGCAAAGGAGGGAGTGTGTTGACTAAACGGAGAGCCAGGGCAGAGAGCCGCTAGCAGTCGCCCTTCGCTTGCCTTCGGGATAATAGTGTTTTGACAACAGCTTCTCATTTCCCTTCTAAAGAAGAAAAGCAAATCACCAAATCAACATGCACATATTTCATATCAAAGATGTTTACAAACTTTATTTTTATAACTCACTGCTTAGCACGCTCTGTATGGTACTTCTCAGAACGAGCGGCAGGAAACTTGCTGCTTGAATTTTTGTTGATTGTTCAAAACCCTCCAGAGAAGCACATAACTTAAAGGAGTCCTAAGGTAAGTCTTTGTGGAAAGCAAATGATGCTTCATTAAAGTGTCTGGCTCCTTATTCCCGCTTCCTAAGTTCAAGGGCTTCAAACTGAGTTGTCTCCGAGAACAGCATACGGAATGACATTTGTTTACACCAAGTTTCCTTCCACAAAGTAGTGGCATAGTTAAACAGACAGTCTTGATTCTAAAGTGGGCCTGCTTAGAAAACTGGCTACTTCCTCTGGCCCCCTACTGTCTCACTTATGGCTTATATTTATAGTTCCCTACGGAAGAATCCAAAGTGATACAAGATGGGTCACCCCTGCCAGTTTGTTAGGTCAAGAGGAATTTCTAGCTGGAGGTTTAATACATGTTTCTTTTTTTTTTAAAAAAATTGTGGTAAAATATACATGACCTAGTATTTCTCATTTTAACCATTTGTAGGTGTACAATCCGGTGGCATTGAATATGCTCACAACATTGTGTAACCTTCCCCAACAAAATCTCTGTGTCCATTAAACAATAACTGCCTCTTTCCCGCCTCCCAAGCCCATGGGAACCTCTGTTTTACTTTTTGTCTGTATGAATTAATGTACATTGTTTTTTATTCTATGTTTTTTACTGTGGTAAAAATTTACGTGACATAAATTTGCTCTATTGACCATGTTAAGCGTGCAGTTCAGTAGTGTTAAGTAGATTCACATTGTTGTAAAATAGACCTCCGGGACTTTTCCATCTTGCAGATCTGAAATTCTGTACTCATTAAACAACAGCTCCCCGTTCCTCCCTCCCCACAGCCCTTGGCAACCACCATTCTCCTTTCTGTTTCTATGAATTTGGCTACTTTAGACACCTGTAATAAGTAGAATCGTACAGTATTTGTCTTTTTGTAACTGGCTTATTTCACCTAGCATAATGTCCTTAAGGTTCATCCATGTCATAGCATGTGACAAAGTCCTTCCTTTTTAAGGCTGAATAATACTCCATTGTCAAGTATATACGCATTTTGTTAATCCATTCATCAGTTGATGGACATTTGGGGTGCTCATACCTCTTGGTTATTATAGACAGTGCTGCTATGAACAGGGTGTACAAATATCTCTTTGAGATCCTGCTTTCAGTTCTTTTGAAGTTAGACCAGAAAGTGGGATAGTTGGATCATATGGAAATTCTATTTTTAAGTTTTTTTGAGGGAACTCCATCCTGTTTTCCATAGCAGTTGCACCATTTTGCAGTTCTACCAACAGTGCCTGAGGGTCCCAGTTTTTCTACATCCTCGCCAACACGTCTTTTCTTTTCTCTTCTATTCTTTTTAAATAGTTGCTATCCTAATGGATGTGAGTGTACATTGTTTTAATTGTTTTTCCTTCTCCTTTTTTCCTCAGTCTGGCATGGGAGGGCAGGATCGTGGTGGTGGGTTTTGCTGGAGGAACCATTGCTTCTGTGCCGGCCAATCTCCTGCTCCTGAAGAATATCTCTGCCATGGGCGTGTACTGGGGCCGATACCAAGACCGGAACTTCCCCGTCTTCTCCAGGAGCCTGTCCTCGGCTCTCCAGTACTGCCAGGAAGGGCGCATCCAGCCATACGTAGGAGCGGTTTTTAAGCTGGAGGAGGTGAGATGTTCTTAAGGAATGTGGTGTGGATAAGGCCAGGAAGTAATCTGTGTCAAGCTACCAAACAGCTTCTGTCCAGTTACTATAAGTCCTCCTCTTATGGAATGAAAAGGTGAACATGCTCCATGGAATAATGGGGTCTCTCAGGCTGGGAGGGGGTCACAGGATTCCTCCCAGTCCTCTGTGTTGTCTGGCCTGAGCCCAGTGAACCGCCTGAGAAGCAGGACCTGTGAGGCCCAGGCAGGCGGTGAATTTTGATGGCTCTTTTTACATCAGTGGTGTCCCAAACAGGGGGACGTGGTGGTACTTTGGGAAATAATTTACCCGTGTTGATGTGAACTCTGAACTCCACAACATACAAGGCTAAGAAGGAAGCACTTAACTTAACCTTTGATTTTAAAATACAGACACTTTAAAGTACAACCAGATGATCTAAGCTGGAGTTCTGTGAACAAACACTAAATCATGCCCAGCATCATAAGAGTGTAATTTATCCATTAGTCACTGTAGTTAATTTTGTTGGCTATTCATTCCTTTTTTACATTCCCCCACAGTCCCATTAATGTGGCTTAAACTTCCTCCAAAGTGTAATTGTGCGCGTGCATATGCAAAATCGTTGCATATGCAAATCTATTAGGCATTCACTGCGAATTCTTTTTTTTCTTTGGCTTAATTTGTTTTAATGTTCAAAAAACTGTTTTGGTAACTCTAGTCTGCCATGGATGGGGTGATGGTTTGTTCATATGCAGATTAGCGGACCCCAAGCTGTCAGGCCAGACTTCACTGCTCACCGGCCTTCCAGTTATATGCTTTTCCCCATGATGAAGAGCATTCTTCCCAAACACGGTTCTTTCTCATCTTCTTGGTATGTCAGTCAAGAAGGCAGCGCTCAGTGCAATAGAGGTATCCCAACTGGCCATCAGAAAACTGGTTGGATTCTAATTCCAGCTTTTGGCCTCTTCTGTGTTCACTTTGTGGAGGTCTCCTCACCTTTCTGACCTCCAGTCAACACGTCTCTAAAATCGAGGGGCAGGACAATATCAGTGGCTTTCCGACTATGCTTCCAGAGCCACAGTTGGGTCTTGGGGGGCGGGCAGTTATAGACTTGAGCTTGCAGGGCTCTGGGACCCCATCTGTGCGGGGGCTGAAATAGGTGCAAAAAGTCTTTACTTTTCTGTTTATATTTTTCTTTTAAGAAAAGGTTTTGAGGTTTAAAACTTGAAAAGCACCAGTCCATAAAATTTCTGAGTCCCCTTCCAACGCGCGGCTTTTATCACACGACTTGTCAACTGAGGTTTGCTTTACCGGAGGCTCAGGTATAGCTGTTGATAGAGAATGAGGACGATTGGGCAGCACAGGAGTGGAAACACGTGCTGGTTTGGACTGTCTCTTCTCTGCATTGATGTGCTCTAGGTGCTGCTCAGGCATGCAAGAAAGCCAGGTTACCCACATTAATGCTCTCTCTCCTCTTAAACATGAATTAATTATCGAATTGCTAACCTCCTGTCAGTTTCCATTTGCCCTTCTCTTTTCCCATGAGGGCTGTGCATGTAGGATTTTTCTAGTTCTTCCCACTCTGTGGACCTTCCCATTACCAGCTGGCTCTCGGAGGCCCTGCTCCCTAACAATTTCAAGTACCTCATTCACACACCATCCATTTACTATTTCTTCTCTTGTTGTTTCTTTCAATATGCAAACAATTTAGAGGAATAATAATAATAATGGCAGCTCCTATACATTAGGTGCTTAACTATGAGTCAAGAACTGTGCTAATCTTCATAACAACTCTGAGGAATAAGCCATTTTTATCACATGTTATGTTATGTTATGTTAGGCAGTTAGACAGGCAGTTAGACAGACATGAGCAGAGTGCAGGGCGGAAAACCTGGTGCCTAGCAATGGGCAAAACTGGGAAAACAGGCCTTGCCCCTAGAGTGACCTTTTCTTCCCTAGTGTATCGCTGGTCATGCACCTCTTAAGATGAAGGACCCAGTGCATTCTCTTTCTCTCTCTCTCTCTCTCTCTCTCTCTCTCTCTCTCTCTCTCTCTCTCTCTCATGTCTGTGCCCTTCCCCACCCCTCTCTTTCCCCTGGTGTGCTCTCTCTGGAGTACACCTGCACCTTTCCCCCTTCTCCCCCAGGCGTGTTTGCTTTGCCTTTCTTTCTCCTCAGCTCCAAGGGCCCTTCTTTTGCCTCCGTAACTTATTTCCTGAGGGCATGCAGCTCAGCTGGCTCACTTCTTCCATAGCTTGCTTCTACTTCGGTGACTTTCTAAATTAACTTGTGCTTGTATTTGAGTTCTTGGCTCTGAATTCTTTCTTAGCCAAACTCAAGGACCGAGGTTTAACTTCCCTGGTAACATCTGGTGCGATTCACCATTAACAGTTACAGATGAAGAAACCAGGACTTGTGGAGGCTAAGACACCTGACTAATAATGTGTAGTAAGTGACAGACCTGGAATCCAGTCCACATTGGTCTGACACCAGAATCTGAGATAGATTGCTGCTTTTCCTCCTCCCCATGGACTGTTTGGACATGCAGTGGGTTTCATACGGCCTCTGGAGAGGTCCCACGTGAACAGCAACCAGGGTGTGTCCCCCTGAAGCAATGACCGCTTCAGAATCAGTGACACATATGGTGTAGTTCCTCTCCTCTTTCCACTATTCACTGCGATTCTCCCTTCACCCGGGCCTCCCTGGGCGGCAAGGAAGCACTGGGGCATACATTCTGATTAGGCTTTTTTTTCTAAGGAACCCAGGCTGACACTTAACTTTGAACATTTATTTATTTTCATGTTTAATAATACATGGCTTGACTTTTCTTAAAGTCGGGTTTTTTGAGTATAATTTGCACATAGTAAAATTCGCTCTGAGTTTTGACAAACATATATAGTCATGTAACTACTTCACTGCAATCAAGACATAGAACATTTTCATTTCAACTCCAAAAAGTTCCCTTGTGCCTCTTTGTAACCGTCCCCTTTTTCTACCCCATAACCTGGCAACCACTGATCTGTTTTCTTTCCCTATAATTCTGCCTTTTGAAGATTGTCATAGTGTAAATGGAATCATACAGTACACAGCCTTTTGAGTCTGGCCTCTTCAGCTTTGCCTAATGCTTCTGAGTTTCATCCATGCTTTTGCATATTCCAGTAGTTCTTTTTTTATTGGGGAATAGTATTTCATTGTGTGGATGTACCACCACTTGTTTCTTTATCAGTTAATGGGATATTTTATTATTTTCAGATTTTGGTGGTTCTAAGTAAATCTTCTATAAACATTCATGTTTGAGTTTTGTATAGACATGTTTTATTTTGTTTTCCAAATTTTAGGACTGGGATTTCTAGAACATGTGCTAAGTGTATGTTTAACTTTTTCTTTTCAAATTTACCCAGACATTTATTTGGCTTTCCTTACAGAGCAGTCCCCCTTCTCTCAGCTTCGGTGGTGGCTAGATAACATCATTAGATAAGAATGTCCATTTAAAGAAATCTGTGTGGAATCCTACGAATAACTAAGGTTGATGTTAGAAGGGGCAAGCTTGACTCTATCGCCAGCTTGCTCTCTAGGCCTTAGTTACTGGGAAGCAATTCTGTTGCAGTCTCTGAAGCCCATGCTTTCGAAGACGAGGCCATTCCTGGTGCATTCCTACCAAAACCCATAGCACGTAGGTTTTCTGTGTGTGTGTGTTTTTGATTAGAAACTGGTGCTCCAGCATCACTGTTTGTTCGAAAATGTCAGGATTTTGATTGTACTGGTTTGCCACTCTATGTTTATCTTTTAATAACTACCAAACTCTTTATCAAAGTGGTTGTCTTATTTTACATTCCCACCAATAGTGTATGAGAGTTTTTGTTACTTTCATCTGCCAGAATTTTTTGTTGTCAGTTGCTTTCTTTAATGATAGCCATTCTAATAGGTATGGAGTAGTATCTGATTGTGGGTTTAATTTGCATTTCTCTGGTGAGTAATGATTTTGAGTATCTTTTCATATGCACATTTGCCATCTGTATCCTTTTTGATGAGATGCGTTGAGTGACTTTTAAAAGAAGGTTCAGATCAACTTGTATCAGAACAACGATATGATGAATATAATTCAACTATGACAGCATATCAGTAACTACATGTGTTTACCTTTTAAAAACAATCCCACTCAGTCCCAGATATATTCATTCATTCATGAGTTTATTTGAACATTCACTGGGGACGTTCTGTATGCCAATCAATAGAAAGCAAGACTTAAGCAATTTATTTTTTAGTTGGAAAGATCTCAGGATAGTGCTATGGTGGGGGAAGAGCTGGTTTCAAATGGGAAGCATGAATCAGCATAATATATTTAGGGAACTATAGGTTACTCTGATTATTCCTGCTTGATGAGCTAATTAAAAATTCCAACAGTAGAACCTAAAACAAAAGCAGTATCCTCACCCTGACCCCAAATTCCAGGGTGCATATTTGCAGAGACACATTTAATTATGGCTTCATCCACTGCATGGCAGAGAATCGGGGTTCTGGGCCCAGCCTGTGTGTCTCTGCCTGGGCACCAGTGTGGAGAGCCTCCCGCTCTGAGATGCAGCCTGTACAATACAGGAGGAAAATGCCCTGGGCATCTAACCGAATTAGCCATCAAAAGACTCTGATGTAAAACCCTGCACTTCGCTGTTTAGTCTTTCACTCCAAGCCTTATCATTCTTATTAAGCAACCAGTCCTTAACATCACTGGTTGTCTGTTTTCCCAGCCCAGATAGAAACCACAGGGTGGGAAGGGACAGAGCTGGGTTATTTTTAGAAGCATCTACAATCACAGCGGAAGTGGCAGCTAGACATAGAAGTAACAAAACATCAAAACAGGAGGTAAAATAATGGATATTAAAAATGATGAGATTCCCAAGTCACGGAACAAAAAGGTTATTACCCTCCCGTCCCCCCTCTATATTATCGGTTAAAGAAGTCAGGTAAATAGGTGCTACCTTTTTATAAAGATTTCTGTGCAAAATGATTAACAAAACAGGTTAGCATCTGAAGTGACTATTTTCTTTTTATGTTACCTTTTATTGGCAGGAGAGTCCTCTTTCTCTAGGATGCCAGGTGAAAAAAGTATCAATATCTTGAATTATGTTTGTTTTCCCAAGTGTTTTTGTTGTTGGGCCCTGACAGGTCTCTGGGAACAAGTGACTTCTAACTGGCAGGGAGAGTGATGCAGCTGTGAGTCACTGGAGATGTAGCTTTGAGTGATTGACAGGCGGGGATGAGTGTTTCAAACATCTTTCTTAGACCTCTTCCACCCCCTCTGAAGGCAGCTAAATTTGTGTGGATTGGAAAGGGCTCGGTGAGGCACAGAGCCCCAAAGACACATGCTCTTGGCACTGGCTGCAGAGAGATTGCCACAGTTGATTTGCTTCCCTACTTTTTACTTATTTATTTTTTGGGTTTTTGGGGAGGATTTCAAGTGGAAAGGGTTGTTTAATTGTAATTCTCATGTCAAAGCACATTTTCATTTTTGTGAGTCCCATCTTTGGTTTTGTGTCTGCTTATTTACAGATGTCTGAATTTACTTACTAGAGGCCCGGTGAACGAAATACATGCACTTGCGGGGAGGGGTCCCTCAGCCTGGCCTGTGCCCTCTTGCAGTCTGGGAGCCCTTGGGGGATGTCCGACTGATGGCTTAGGCCCACTTCTCGTGGGCCTAAGCCTGCAGTTGGACATCCTTAGCGCTGCTGCGGAGGCGGGAGAGGCTCCCACCACCACCGCTGCACTTGCCAGCCATGAGCCTGGCTTCTGGCTGAGTGGTGCTCTCCCTGTGGGAGTGCACTGACCACCAGGGGGCAGCTCTTGTGTTGAGTGGGATCGTGCTGAAACCGGCTCTCCGATGTCTCCTGAGGGGTCCCGGATTGCGAGAGGGTGCAGGCCAGGCTGAGGGACCCCATTGGTGCACGATCAAGGTCGGGGAGGGATGCGGGAGGTTGGCCAGCTGGGGAGGGACCACAGGAGGGCTCCAGGGCATGTCCGACCTGTCTTGCTCAGTCCTGATTGGCTGGACCCCAGCAGCAAGCCAACCTACAGGTCAGAGAGTCTGCCCCCTCGTGGTCAGGGCACGTCATAGCAACTGGTTGACTGGTTGACTGTCTGC